ATAAGGGAGAACATACCTTAATAATCTGCGTTTATAACAGAAAATTGCCTTGTAAATTTTATTGGCAATATTTAAAAATATTAGTGACTTAATTAGATCCTATTCTCTGAGGTAGACATTTCTAGAAAACCTCTATCATATTAGATAATCTAACCCATTGCTAATTATAATTATATATTTTAATTATACTAGAAGCGTAGCCACTACTAGTATTTTCGTACCAAACTCTAGTTCCGTTTATAAAATACTTGTATTTAAGTATTTTCAAATAGCTTTCAAGGTTTTAGTTACTTGAAGTAAGAGTTTACATTATTTTCATTAACATTCATGAAAATAATATAATATAATCATGAAAATAAATACATAAATAAACACATATGTCAAATTATTAGTGTTGCATATTACATGATCCACATATTTAGTTGGGCCATAGGCCTATTCATATTTTCCAAAATGTTATAGTCGTAATCACAGATTTTAATACTGGGATTATCAATATTTAGCTGCCTTTCATGAAATTTTTTGGCTAAGTTATAATGTGTGCGCAGTAACTCAATACCTAACTCTTCATGTATTCTATTATTCCCTACATACCATTCAGCATTTACAATTTGTCGTAGAACAGTATTCTGCCAAACTTGCAATCTTTTCCTATGAGTTTTCTTGGTATATGCCCAAACTGGACTTGCATAACACTAAAGTGGAGGTAGAATAACACTAAACAGAATAACACACTAAAGTGGAGGTAGAATAACACTTGCATAACACTAAAGCGAACATGAATTATGCATAAGGATATCTACAATGGCTTAATTAATTTGCACTGTATTATGAATATGATTCAAAGTTCTGAAGATAGACATTTTATGAAATTTAATCCGTATATTTCAAAAAGTAAATAAGAAGTTTTTTGTTAAGAATAATCTATTTGTTTGGGAATACATTTATACCTGAATGGCATTTTTTTCACATTTCAAAATTAGTAAAAAAGAAATCCGATTAACGGATGAGAGTCTACAATTTGTAATGACGATAATTTCTAGTAATTTCTTTCCAAGACTTTAAATTTTACTAGAATTGAATTTTCTTCTGTGATATAATTAATAACCTTCGGTGAACATTTTTGATGGAAATAGACATAATTTTAAAATTCTCTTTATTTTGAGCACTAGTATACATACATAATGAGTTATTTGAATGGAAACTTGCTATGTAAATTAAAAATTCATTTAATTAAGTGTTAAATTTAAGTTAGTGGAAGCTGAATTTTAGAATTTACATTAATAAACGTTCTCAGGCTGTGGAGCTTTGTCCATACGAATTGGATTAAATGTTTGTGTTTTGATGTTTTAAATGTTTTTATTTATAATAAGTATATAGAGAACTATTTAGCACTTGTTATCCTGTAATGGTTGTTGTTGTTGTTGTTGTTGTATTTAATTATGGCAAAGCACACGAGGGCTATCTGCCTAAAGGGAGGGATGCCTTTCGTGGAGGACTTTCTAAGGGAAACTGGCTCGTATACACGTTACACATGGGGAAAACCACGAAAACGCCCATGCAGCCAGCCCGTTCGCGGGATTCGAACCTCAGACCGAACTACCAGTGTTCAGCGTCTTTACCACTCGGCCGCTGGTGGGCCTATCCTGTAATGGTAAAACTCCCAAGTAATTTTTCCGGATAGATTCAAAAATTTAGATATCAAACGTAGTAACCCGTGAGCACACGTGCCGGGTATTTTTGACCCGACGCTTCCTTTTGTCCGCAAATATTTTAGGAATTTCTCAACACTTGCACCTGCCACTTCCGATACCTTACAGGGTGATCTAGTCATGCAGGTAGGAAGTAAGATAGAGTAGCCCTAAGCAGGTTTCTCCCGTACCCTGCTCTGAAGCACCGGCGATCCCTACGTGGTGACCAAAACATTGGGTCATTTACCATTACGTTCAATGGGTTTTGACGAGATCGGATGAAAATATTTTGCAATTACGTCGTAAATATGCATATAAATGTATATATTTTCTTTTTCTGCAACACTACAGAGTCCTAAGTATATGAAAACAGCATATTTTTAAACAACATTTCATTCTTAATGGAATTAAATGCTATACTTTTCACAGGACAGTTTTCTCAGAATGGTTTAATTTGAATGAAATATTTTCACAAGTTTTCGTTAATTACATTAGGAAAAAAATTGAAGGTACAAAAATTAAGATCAAAGTTTATTGTATTATTAATATTAAAATTATGCGTTATTTCTTTTCTATTGATAGAGCTTCTTCCTAAAATACTTTCTTAAATATGATACGATTTTTTGGCTTCTGAGGCATCATTTAAATCGAAAAATATAAGTCAATTTATAATTAATGCTCTATTCGGTTCATTTTAAATTAGAGAATTATTAGAAATTAGCGAAATACTTTAAATAGTACTTGACTTTCTCTGAACATTTCTGAAAGGGAATAAAATAAGGATTTTATTTTTAAATAATCCAAATAAGTAAAACGTGTAAGCCCAAAGTGATTATTTTTCAGATATATAAAATTAAAACGATGAGTTTAAAATGAGCAGCAGCCTCTCCTCTAAAAAATTTTCAGAAGTTACATGTTACAATAATATATGGATGTGAAAAAAATTTATTTTATTTAAAACATTTTGGCATTTGGAACATAAAATAAAAGTAGCGAATACTCTATCAAGGGTATCGAAAGACGTATACAATTTTAAAGGTACCTTAAGGTACTTTTCATTCTTTAAGCATAACATTTTTCTTAAAATCTATATTTTTGTAGTTCACAGCTTAGAATTTTATAAAACAAATTCATAATCAAAATCGCTGTTGTTAGTTATCGAAAAATAACCAAGATGTGATTCTTGCGTAAATGTCACTAAACTGTATAAATCCATCACACTATGAATGTTTCTTTCATGCGAAAGTGTCCCTTTTTCGATTTGTATGGAACTGTCGTGTGTCGAAATACTAGCAGAACACTGTCAAGCGAGCTTCTGAATGTAAACAAATAACACCCCCATCTGGTGATCGAAGCCAAAGAATATGTATTGTTAAGAAGGAAAGCTTCGCAGCAGCAGGAGTGGCTCCCTTCGTAAGAAAAGGGAAACAGCTGCGCATGTGTTAAATATCTATCGCCAAAAAGCGCCAAAGCTCGAAGCTCATGCCGAAGTTCAAACAGGTTCGACGGTCACGTTTATCAAGAGTTTAAAGCTGTGTGACTCCATTTTTTCCCTCCACTTGATTGATGGATATAAAATCAGACATCAAACCGCGACATGGATAATGCAAGTTCAACAGCCACTGAAAGTGAAACTTCACCTAATTTTCTTATTCATCTTAATCCGTGGTCCTCAATTTTCTGTACACGTGACGAAAGAGGAAAATCTCGGCCAGGTCCAGTACATCACAGAGGGGAAATTCTCGCCAACAGGTTCCGTCGCCAAATCCCTTGGCGAATTTTCCCTCTTCTTTCTAGCGGCGTAGAAGACAAACTGGTTTACATTACGTCTATGAAGCCTTTCCTTCTTTACATAGACATTCTTTGCCGAAGCTTCGAAGCAGTGCTTCACTTCTAGTGCCGGTTGGCCACTCCTTCCTTTCTTACCTCCATGGATCTAGTAGAGGGGTTTCTGGAAAAAAATCTTGGAAAACGAGATTGACGGGGACGGGAGGTCGCCGGGGTTCATTTTTACCCGCCGCGTGTACTAACGTTTTGGAATTAGTTAACATTATGAATCTGTCTGAGTACGAACGGGAGCAGCAGAGGCTGCGCGATCTTCTCGCAAATGTTTCGACCGACAGCGAGATTGAAGGAAGCTCAGATTCGGTTGAAGCCAGTGGACTTTCTGAAAGTGAACACGATACAGAAAGTGAACAGGGAAGTGGATTTAGAGGACTAAGATTTGAGCGATGAAGACAATAACAAGGAATATTATCTCGGTAAAGATAAAACTAAGTGGATGGCAAGACCCTCTCCGACAAATGTGCGAAGAACAGCGTGTAATATTGTGTCACATTTACCGGGTGTAAAGACAAATTACAGATGCTTTACAAGTATTTTAGAATCTTTTATAGTAATTTTTGATGATGACATTATGAATATTGTTGTACAATGTACAAATATTTATATTGAGTCAATTAAAAACAAATTTAAACGTGAAAGAGATGCATTACCAAACAGCAAAGCGGAAATAAAGGCTCTTTTTGGTCTACTTTATTATGCTGGCGTTATGAGAGCTGCACACTTGAATGCGAAAGATCTTTGGTCTACAGATGGAACAGGAATGCAAATTTTTTCAGCTTCAATGTCAATTAACCGTTTCCATTTTCTCCTTAGGTGTCTTCGATTCGATGACATACATAGTCGTCAAGAGAGAAAAGAATTTGATAGACTAGCCCCAATAAGGAATGTGTTTGAAAGAATTGTTAATAATTTTCAAAAAGTGTACTGCATTTCTGAGTACTGTACAATTGATGAGAAACTACAGCCGTTCCGTGGAAGATGCCAGTTTCCTCCTCAATACATCAAGAGCAAATCAGCGAAATATGGCATAAAAATTTTTGCATTATGTGATGCCCGAACTTTTTATACACATAATCTTGAAGTTTATGTTGGTCAACAGCCTGATGGACCTTTCAGAGTAAGTAATAAACCAAGTGATATTGTAAAGAGACTTGTTGCTCCAATTTCTCAAACTGGTCGTAATATAACTATGGATAATTGGTTCATGAATTTCCCCTTTAGAATTGTTGGAGAAAAACAAGCTTACAACTGTTGGTACAATTAGAAAGAATAAGAAAGAAATTCCTAAGGAATTTTTACCACATTAAGTCAAGAGTTGTACATTCCTCACTTTTTGGATTTTATGAGAAGAAAATTGCCTTAACGTCACACGTTCCTAAGAAAGGTAAATCTGTTCTAGTGTTATCTTCATTTATTTTGGATGATAGAATCGATTCGACAACGGGTGATTTATGTAAACTTGAAATGATTACCTTTTATAACTTGACCAAAGGAGGTGTGGATACAGTGGATGAAATGTGTGGAACGTATTCAGTTTCAAGAAAGAGTTGTCGCTGGCCTTTAACAATTTTCTTTGGCCTACTAAATATCACAGGCATAAATTCATATACTATTTATAAATTCAACAGCGCCAATAATTTATCACGACGAAATTACTTGAAGGAACTTGCTGTTGACTTAGTAAAAGAACATCTTCTTGAGAGATCAAAGAACGCAAGTATACTTCAAACTATCAGAACTAACTCCAAAAGGCTCCTAAATTTACCAGATGACAGACCGGTAAAATTTCCAAAGAAATCCTCATTTTGTCATCGATGTGAAGAATGCCCAAAGAAATCTGATCGAAAGACTTCTTCTGTTTGTGAAGAATGCGATAAATCCTTGTGTAAGACCCATTCACTCATCATATGTTCTAATCGCTTAGCAAAAAATGGTGATAAAAATTATTGTGATGAATAAATAAAAATAATTAGCGCATAACGAAGAAAAATAAATAAATATGCCAGCTATATTTGAAATCTCAGTAGTGAATTTTTAAGCTTTCCTTACTCAAAATTTTCAAATGTAAACATGATTCAAAATATTAATTTTATTGTCATTTAAACACAGTTGTGCAAGAAAAAAAAGGTTAATTTTATTTGTCAAATGTTTAAACGTTTCAAAATGGTTAGAAACGAATGAATGCCGAAATAAGGATACAAAATCGAAAGTAAGATTTTTTTTCTTTTTACTGTTTTGAAAATTGACTTTTGAAACAAATAATATCTCCTGTTACTTAGAAAGTATTCAAATAACACGTTTAGCTTGAAATTTTACTTTGAAATACCCAGATCTTACTGAGAAGTTAGAGTAAAATTTAGGGTCAAATTGACCCGGTGCGTGTGGTTATGTCGCAGAAAAGGGTGCGTGTGCTGAAGGGTTAACATCCATATGCATTACTTGAATCATCTCTTAAAATGCTTTCTTTTCCTCTGGACATCAGAGAAATGGAAATAAAATACCACAATCATAACTTTAACGCTCAATGTAAACGCTTCTACGCTTCTCTTCTTTTCTTTCTTTATCTAGTGTGTCTTTTAGACGCAGAATAGAATCAAACTACATCTGGATGAACAAAAAAGATATTCATAGCTTTTGACATAAGCAATACGAGATCAAATATGCTTGCGATATGGTGCCGTCTCGTTTACGAGAAACAATGACAAAATCTGATGTTGGTAATCTTACATTAGCTTTTATCATATACTGCTGAATAATCAGGAATGTTGTCTCTGATTATGTAGCTCATATTTTATTATTTTCTGTGACATATGTTTTTGTTTCCGAGACGTTATTCAATATGAAATATGTTTGTAAAGAATATTTGAATTAAATCTACAAGCGCAATTGATTCTGTCATGTTTCGAATTTAAAAAAAAAGACATGAAGAGGAAAATGTTTTGCATTTATGTACTAACAGCAAATACTTGATTTTCAGGAATAATAATTAAAAGAACAGATTATATTTAAAATACTGTTTCCATTTACATACTATGCCTGCAGCTTAAAGCTATTAGCGATTGTTATACCAAAGCATTTGCTCTATTACACTTTAAAGCTTGTAGAATCATTCGGTTATTTTGAAACAGAAGACGTGAAGAATGTGTAGTGCCCTCACGGTGGTTCGAACCCTGGACCCCCAAATACGCGTTGAGTATGCTTCCAATTATATCACGAAGGCATGCGGAAAGGAGTGAGAAAATACATTTTAAACTCCCCCCTTTTAAACTTTTTAGTTCGGGAGCCGTTTGTAAAGTAGTTAGGTTTATCAATGCAGGAAGCATGAAAAATGTGCAATGTCCTTTCCGGGAAAACGAAACCTGGACCTCTATAATACGCGTTGAGTATGCTTCCAATTACACTACGAAGGCATGGGAAAAGAAGGGAGAAAATACTTTATACGCTATTTTTACATTATTTATGATAACAGATATTGTTGGAAAAACCTTGCTTTGGCCTTGTCTATACAATATCATGGGAATCTGACATTTTAAGAACCACAGATCCCACAATAGACTTCCCAGGAGAAATCCTGGGATTACACAAGACCTCCACTCCGCAAACAGCTGTCTTTACTATTTCAGCTACTAAAAGCCATTAACTAGCTTTAGCTAATTTCAGTTAAGAGGAAATACAAAAGTCTTATCATAGCAAACGATATGAGACACTTCCGGCAAGAAGCTACTCAACTGCTCACCAAAGAAAGGATATAAAGTCCATAATCCGGACGTCCATTATCCGGAATGATCTATAATCCGGACCTCGAAGCCACAAACTTACGCATGCGTGTATTTTGTCTGTTCATAGAATTAAAGAGAAAGTATTAGCACAAAAAAAACGAAGCAACGTAAACAACTTACATTGATAGAAATGTTTACAAAAGTAAACAAAAAAATATTAAGCTTTTTTTTTTTTTTGTAAATTTTGATACCCTTTAGATCATAACTGCTCTTTATTTCATAAATTACGGTTTCATATTTTTAATTGTATAATTTCTGCATGCCATCTTACTAGATTTAAATTGATGATCTATAATCCGGAAAAACCTCTAATCCGGCATGTCCCGACAAGTCCGGATTACGGACTTTGTACTGTATAAATGTCCTATCAAACTGAAGGATAAGAGATGCAACAAGCTATCTCTCTTAGATCAGAAAACATTTCGAACGCTTGACTACAGCACATAATTAGTTATTTCGAAATCTAAAATATAGATTTTTTGTGGGTAACCTAGCCACAAGTGTCTTAAAAATTCAAATATCTTTAATTTTTTTTTACTTCAACTGTTGCTCCGTTATGCCTTCGATTTGTACACCAATGTCTTTCAATTCATTATGTAATAAGTTTCATCCTTTCTCACTTCACTGCGTGTCTTCGTGGTCTAATTGTAAACCCCTCTGGCTAGTAATCGGGAGGTGGGAGTTTGAATCCGTGTAGGGTAATGCCTTTTTTTATGTTTCCTGCTTTGAAAAGCCTTATGAGCTCTAAAAGTATTGTCCAAAGTAAAATATCGACAATAATCCGTCATTGACTGGATGTTACATTTTGGGTCCCATCTTTACAATCTCTAGTACCATTAGTTGAAAAACACATCTACTTAACAGTGGGAAAATCCAAAGTCTGGCGAGGGCCACGATGCACCCAAATCCTACATGCTACAAGTTTGGAAATGAGAAGCATACATTAAGGTACTAAATCACACTAGATGGCATATCACTTAAATTAACAAAAGACACAGAGTCACAATTTAAATGAACTTAGAAGTACAAAATAAAAGCATAAATGGGAGAGATTACAAACTTCCACAAAACACCCAAGTACACCAAATCTGGAATGTAATAATTAATAGCCGTTTGTAAAATGCAAATGCTGTAGAAACGTGTGTAAAGAATTTGAAAGAAATAAAAATTCAAACGAATAATTAGAGCGACGAATGGCTTGTTCGGAAAGAGTAGGTAAATTTCTCCGCATTTCTTTTTGTCTTCTATCTATGACTTAGCTCTACGATTTTAACAGTTACGATAAAATCAGTGTTATTAAAGATTTATTCAAAGTAGGAAAATCATCATGTATTCCAAAGGATTCAGCTGGATGATATATCTTTCAATATATCATCCAGCTGAAGAAGACATTTAATGGCTTTTACAAGTATGTTTTGATTATCATCACTACTTTTTATAGTATAGAGCAGCCTCTAAGAACATGACGCATATTACCATGTGTTTCATGTCTGTGAATTTGAACAACTCAAAACGTACCCTTTCGAACATTCTAATTATATTACTTCAGGTAATTTGTAATCATTTTTAACGTTTACATTTCTATATATTTATCAATGCATTAATTCTTTTTAAACATCTCGGAATTAGGCAGAAGATCTTGACTTATATACATCAGAGCTTTAATCGAGACGATACTTGCATTTGTATTTCTTGAGATGGAAACAGTATTTTTGTTCTTACACCACACCTTAAATGGATACTTAACTAACGGATTCTTCCTTTTAGCCAAACGCTTATATACTGTGAATAAAATATACTTTTGTGAACTGGCGGCATAAATTATGTGTAGGCGACGTACTCTTGAAAGAGGAACACCGAAGTTGAACTGAAATGCGAATCAAACATGTGACATTATTGTGAGTTACAGTAAAAGTTAAATCTCTTAAAATCTCCAGGGTGGTGAAAGTTTTGGTGATTCTCAAGTACGAGTGGAATAACGTTATCGAAACGCATACCTCATTTCATAGACATATTGTCAATACGTAGCATTATTGTTCATTTATCGAATGTAATCTGCAACAAGCGATGCAGAAGAAGTGGAGACACTTTCTACAAAATCATTTTGAAGACAATGGTCGGGGCTCATGTAAACCAGTTTACGGCTTATATGTTGGCTTGTTGAGGCTGAAAAGTGTTCTACTACATATCATATTCGATTAGCTATTCCTCTTATCTTGTTTTAAGTCCTTGTGATTATGATTAGTTTTTAAGCAGAAAGCATTATTTCCTGGGGTTCATTTGCTGACACTTTCAGAAATTCTTCCAGCAACAAGCAGTTTCGTCAAAAGAACAGAACCTGATGCAGGCATGCGTATTACTTCCATATTGTTTTGAACGGACTGATACAATATTGGTGATTTATCAAAAGACAATAAGAGTTTTACTGCTGAAGCTTTTTGTATCTGTTATAAATAAATAGTTTAAACTCGCGGCGGAGCATACAGAGATAAGTAAATGTGTGTGCGGTCCCTGCAATTCACAGCTCCCAGCCTTTACGATGTGAGTGAGTGAGTGCACCGCTATGATGGCTTCCGACCACGGACATGAACCAAACGGAATTATATACCATCACGGCGGGGAAGACTCCATAGTAACAAGGTTGAATATTATAAACTAATAACAGTTTTTACATATTGATAACTGCAAGGCACTAAGCGTTATTCTGGTTATCTGCTTTAAGTTCTGAACATTTGAAACATTATAATATTATCCACGGTTGTTTCTGCTTAGGCAGTGTCTTGAGATTTTCTCTATTTTATCAAGGGCTATTCTGTTTTTGAGTGTGTTATTCGTCCACATTGTCCAGGCACAGTCCGCTGGTTTCTTCAAGTGCCAGGTTCTTGTATGTACACAGTGGAAGTAATAATGGTCCATATCGCCTTCCTCTCCACATTCGCAGGAAGGAGTATCCCTAAGTCTGAATCTGTTCAGGTATACTGGGAATGGTCCATGACCTGTCAAGGACTGTGTTAGGCTAGCACAGTGGGTCTTTATTTCCATGTTAACGTTTGGCAGTAAGCGAAATGTCCTTCGTCCTACCTCTGCCTCTGTCCATCTGCTTTGCCAATTTTGTAGCAGACTTGTCAAAGTTGTTCGCTTAATATGAGACCAAGAAACTTTAGTTGGTCTTTCTAATAT